ACTGGGTTCTGCATAAGAACATAACAGCAGCCCTTTTGGATCAGACTGGCGCTTCATCTACTTAGTAATTGTATTTAACACATCGTGTTTCCTGCCTCTGAGCATGGAGGTTCACTTTACTCACCAGGGCTGGTAGCTATTGATGGACCTATCATCTCTGAATCACTCCAACCCCTTTTAAAGCCATCTGTGTTTGTGGCCCTCATTACATACACTGGCAGTGAATTCCACAGTTGAACTATTTGCTGAGTAAAGAAACATTTTCTTCTGTCTTCTTCCTGTTGCCCATCAAATTCACTACATGCTTTTGAGTTCCAGTATTAGGGGAGAGGAAAAAGTTCCCTCTATCCGCTTTCTCCATCCCTCTATCATGTCTCCCCTTAGCTGTCTTTTTCCAGGTCTAAAATGTTCCATTCTCTCCAGCCTTTTGGCATAGGAAAGGTGCTCCAACCCCTTAATTATCTTGGTTGCCCTCTTCTGTACTTTTTCCAGCTCTGCAATATCCTTTTTTGAGATACTGTAGCCAGAACTGTTTTCCAAATGAGGCTGCACCATAGCTCTATACAAGGGCAGCATATTCAAACCACTATAATCCCCCAAGATCTCTTTCGATCTTGATCTCAGCCCCTTCAGAACTTTTTAGGATTTTTTAAAACAGTTTCACTCTTTGCCACTTTGTTGCCCCCTCACCCAGTTTAGAGAGATCTTGTAGCTTTTGCCATCCTGAATACTTTGGAATCTTCATGATACTTATTGTATTCTTATAATAGTTCAGGGCATAGAGGTTCAACCTTGTGTGCGTGCGCACACGAGCACATGCTGCTGTCTTATACTGAATCATATCCTTGGTCCATCAAAGTCAGTATTGTCTAATCAGACAGGCAGTAAGATCGCCAAGGTCCCAGGCGGAAGTCTTTCACATCATGTGTGACCTGATCCTTTTACCCAGAGATGCCAGGGATCGAACCTGGGACCTTCTGTATGCCAAGCAGATGCCAGTTTGGTGTAGTGGTTAAGTGTGTGGACTCTAATCTGGGAGAACTGGGTTTGATTCCCCACTCCTCCACTTGTACCTGCTGGATGACCTTGGGCAAGCCATAGTTCTGGCACAGCTGTTCTTGAAAAAGAGCAGTTTCTGTCAGAGCTCTCTCAGCCCAACACCTCACAGGGTGTTTGTTGTGGGGAGGGAAAGGGAAAGGAGTTTGTAAACCGCTCTGAGGCTCCTTTGGGAAGTGAAGGGCGGGGTATAAATCCAATCTCCTCTTCTTCTGTACCACTGAGTCAAGGACTCCCCCCTAAAATACCTTGACAAACAGGTAGAAAAAAATGCTCCACAGTATTTAAGCTTCCTGGTTTCAAACCCCCTTAATTTTAATGTGTGTAATTTAAGATTTATGGTATCAAACCTCCTTAGGGATTTTTTTACCACAGAAATCTGAGGTGGAAGAATAAGCACAGAATTCTCTTTGGGGAGTGATGGATTTGGAAGCAGTGAGAGGGAGCAGTGCTGAATGTGCAAAAATGCTGCCTGATAACACAGCTTGGATTAATATGGTGCAAAATCTGGTCCTTAATTTTCTTTCTGTTGCAAAAAGAAAGTGACCAGGTTTATAGATAGCCCGTGACTGTTGACAAGCTAGGAAGACGAAGCAAGGGTAGGTGGGGTCCAGTTTATGTTTTCCAGCCCCATAGCTCACTTCTTGTTCCTCAGAATTTCTGTACAAGAGTCTGGATGACAAGCAGACTAGAGCTAGTGTGGGGTTTGTATGACGGAGTGGTAAGTTCAAATCCCCACTTAGCCATGAGGCTCAGTCACAAGGTGATCTTTGACCCATCTCTCTCTCCCCCCACCCCCGCCGCCTAACTTACTTCAGAAGGTTGTTCTTGGAATAAAATGGAGGCTGGGTGATCTTTTGGCTACAAGTGACTCTCTATAGGTTTCCTTTCCACACTGTGTACGTGGATGCACACAGCTTGCTGTAGGAGGAGCTGTAGCCATTCTGCTTGGCATGCAGAAGGTCCCCGGTTCAATCCTTGGCATCTCCAGGTAAAGACCAGGTAGCAGGTGATGTGAAAGACCCCTGCCTGAGTCCCTGGAGAGCTGCTGCCAGTCTGAGTAGAAAAGACTGACGAAGCTTCATGTGTGCGTGGTTGTAGAAAGTCTGTGTACATTTTGATGAACGTATGGAAACTGAACAGTGGGGCCAGGAAGTGCAATCCTGACCCCCGCTCCACACATTCACCTAACGTGGATATGTCTTGTGAACTGTGCTAGCCAAGTTGTTCAACGTGTTTTTGGTTTCTAGCCACAAAACAGTTCTCCTTACCAACAAAAGAGGATTCTGCCAGGCTGCTGGCCACAAAAAACGCACCTGAGTCAACACCAGCTGAGGAGAAATCCTGTTCAGCAGAGGCAGCAGAACAGAACCTGAAAGGAGCCAGTGCACCTGGACTTTCCCCTCAAAGGTAATCTCTAATGATTAAACAACAAACCAAAACCGTGCCAGTCAAGTTACAATAGAGCTGCCAGCCTGTCTCCTTCAGGGTTTTTAATGAACCTTGTTAAAAGTGGGACCTGGCCAACTCTCTTGCCTTTAACAGCAGCCAGATACAGAGAAATCAGCAGGCCCAGTTTTTTTTACAACAGAGAGATACAGTAAGAGGCATGATTGCCTGCAGTGTTGGCACCATTGACTGACTCAGTCCCTCACAAGCAGAGAACCAGGGAAAACGGCCTTATACCTGTTCACTATTAATCCCTGTCAAGGACTGCCTTTTTTGGCACTTCAGCTGCTCTCAGCCATTTGCCTGTAAGGCTCATCACTTGAGAAGTCTAAAAGGAAGAATGTTGCGAGGCACTCTGTTGCCGTTCACACTGAGGGCTAAAGAACTCTTTCCTCTGTTTCCACTTGGATGAAAATAATCGAGGCATGGTTGTACATGTGTGTCTTTGGATCAGTAATTTAGTCATACGTGAAGGATTTGGAGGCCAGATTTGGTTCTTGGGCCTCAAGTTTCCTATCACTGTTTTTACAGTGTTAACTCTTTTCAAGTCTGGTAAGATTTTTCAACCGATCCGCTGAAAGGAGCTGCAACAGTCACCTGTGTCACTCATGCTTTTAAGGTTTGAAGGAGAGAGGGAAAGATGCATAACTAAGGGGAGGCTTATGTGAATTTCCCATCTCAAAAATTATTATTTTCGGTTGTAGAGGAGAACTGAAAAACTGTCCTGGCAGTCACTAAATATCAAGCTGTGGTGATTGCCTGGAAGAAGGTTGGACTCGATCTGTTCAAGACCTTTGAGTTAAAAGAGCAGTAAGAGAAGAAGTAGTAAGGGGAGGAATGAATGCTCACTGGAGCATTTGGTGGCATATTTTCCTTTTATTGTGACTTGGCCTAGTTGTTACGTTATAGAGGGCAACCCAAAAATTTCCCTCAAACTTTGAAGTGTAATTGGATGAGCTGCCACTAATCCAAGCATAGGTTCAAAGGAACTGGCCCCAGGTCATTACTTTTTAACCCTGCAATTTGGCAACGCAAAAATATATGTGTGTGTGTGTGCGCACACACACACACACACGAAAAAATAACCCCCAAATCTATATATCTAATAGCCAAGTTGCCCCCTCTGTGCGGATATCTAAATCCGCACATCGGGGGCACCTGGGGGGGGGGCAGGGAGATTTTCCTGCACACGTGGTGCAATGCCCAGGTGTGCAGAAAAATATTAAAAGTTGAAAAAAATATTTAAATTAGGTAAAAAGTAAAAATTAAATGAGCGTTCCCTGCGCACACGCAGAGAACGCTCTGGGAACTGGCAGGCCGGCAGCTGGAAGGCACTCAGGCTTCGCCGCCGGAGCCGGGGTGGGTTGGGGGAAGGAGATCGGCCGGGCCCAAGACAGGAAGGGGGGAGGAGATTGGGAGGCCCGAGTGG